AAAAGCCGATTACCCATAATTTCCGAATCGATGGGAAGTTGAAAAAGAAGCGAGTCCGGGGAAGAGCGGGGGAACGAGGAGCGACAGGAAGCGATATTAGCGGTGCGCGGGTAAACAGACTTTTTAACTCCTACGCTTACGTCTGCTCGTGCAGCAGTTACGATTACGCTCCCCGGGTTGCCTACATAACAGGAGTTATTTTGAGCCCCCCCCCCCCCTAATCACCCATTCAAAACGAACCGTGAACGAGTGCCTTTCTCATCCACCTCGGCCTAGTGGAGTGCATGTTTTGACCAAAGCGGGGCTCTATTCCGAACTTTCGAATTCAAAATTTAAAAAGAAACATATGGATTACAGTTTGCAATAAGGAACCACTGTTTCTGGCCCATTTTCGTAGCAACATACATGTCATTGGTTTCCCTATGCAGATATGTGCTTTTATAAGAGACCCAGAGATAGTGGTTCCTTATTGAAAAATGTAATCCATATAGACGGCGTAAGTCCGCAATCACATATCTCGTTTGCGGTGTCTGAAAATCTCCGCCTGTTATATATATATATATTTTTTTAAAGAGAACAAATTTACATCATTTCTTGAAGTTTATGCAGAATTTTCTTCGCGCGGAGAAGAAAAATCATGGCAGTTTTAAAGAATTGCTTTTGAGTAGTTTTCCATTCAATAAATAAAGTATGACAGGAAGTCTGCGACGTCGCAAACCGAGTTATACGATTGCCGACTTACACCATCGATATGTGGATCGTATTTAGGATAAAGGAACCAGCGCAATTATGGTATTTTCAAATTTATGCGACTTTTTCTTTTCTTTTAAAAATATTTGATATGTGTAAAGAATTAAAGTTTACCCAGTTATTTTCCTTTAAAATTGACAATTTGTTGGTGGGAGGCAAAAACTACATGTTTGCTATTCTTAGAGATTTTTTTAGATATTTATGAAGGAGCAACATTTTTACCACACAGAAATCGCGCTGGTACCATTATGCTAAATGCGATCCATTTTTTCGAGAGAAAAATAAATGCATGCTAATATCCTGTGATCTACAGAGAGAAAATTAGCCTAAAAGGGAAAATAATGCAACCCCCTGAGTACGTTTCATTAATTTCTCAGAAAGGTCAAAAATTTAATTTTGAAACGATATTTTCATTTCAGTTCTTATTCTTCTTGTTGTTACTCTTCTTCTCCTAATTGTACTTTTTCTTGCATTCCAAATAAACGAGGACGGACCATATCACAATCTGGCAGCAGTGGCGAGATGATCATTAAAGGCCAACATTGAATGTCAAGATCATATGATATGCATGGAAATCACTCTCTGTCCCCCTTTGTTGGCTCAGCTTTGGTCAGCCATCTGTGACACACATTGATGGTCTGACTTTGAGTTTTTTTTTTTTTTTTTTTTTTTTTTTTTTTTTTTTTGCTGTTTTTCTGACTGATTACCTATCGAATTAAATCAATTTTGCCAACATAAGGAACAAACAATATGCGTTCAAATAATTGTATTATTCAAAGAATAGAGTGTTTGCAGGTGTCTGAAATTTCATGAATTTCATGTTAATGTAGAAACTACTGAGTGAACTGAACACGAGGATACTCCTGGTTCATGAATTGAACAATTATTGGGGAAGATATGGCAAAATTATCTAATCTGCTAACATACATATGTTTAAATGGTAAATGCCACCAGATGACGTCAATAGGCGGTGAATTTTCTTACTTTTAAATTATTTATTATTACTTATACTTCATTATTATTTTCTTACTTATACTATTTCCCATATCAGAAAAAAATTATAAAAAATACTGTGAAATCAGCTCCAAGAACTTTCAGATGAAGCAATAAAAATTTTGCTTAAAAATTCTCCATTGTAGGGAAGAAACGTTGCAACTTTGTAAAATACTCTTCTTGTCAGTGCATGTAAAAAAGTGATCCGTGTGCAATTTTTAAGGCTGCTCGGGAAAATACTCAAAACGTGACCGGCCGATATCGGCAACACGGCTGAGCGCACCGCGGCAATCGGACGTTACCGCAGATATTTACACCCTCGGATTCGGGCCTTATATCCAGATATTTCAGAGATGAGAAAATTCTCTTGTGTGCGAGTTGTGTCCCTCAGAGCCCCGCATTGAGAAATACTAAAGGTACTGGCCTACTCTGTCGTGATGAGGAAGAACCCCGTATGAGCCTTCAGGCGTTGCTAAGTTGGCGTTGATAAAATACCAATTTACTGGGAAAGTTATGAATATTTTTCTTCCAATTTTTCTGGCAACATTGTTAGCAGATCAATCTTAAATATCAGAGAATGTCTAGAAAAAATACACATAACTTCCTTCCAAAAACAAAATTTTATCGGAGACAATTTGGCAAATCTCTAATGTTCATACGGCGTTCTTCCTTAGCACGGCAGTGCCCATAGCAGCTCTTCTACTCGTGCGGAGCGAAAATCTAAAATTGCTGCTCAAAGACCGCAATGTGCCCACCGAAGGGATACCTTTTGAACACCATCGAACCCAGTTCCCCCCCCCCTCTCTTGCGTTTGCAATGTAGAATAAAAAATCCTAGGGTCGAAGTTTTCATTACGTCCGCATTTACATACACTGATCCCTTTTTAGCCACAGGCAGCTTCACGTTGCATTATCAAGATTTAAATTAAAACACGGTATAGAAACTCAAAAAACGAGAGGAAGTTTTTCGAATAGTGTGATTCATAATGAAGTTGCTATGATGAACTTACGAGAAATTTTTGATTTATGAATTTAAATTTCTTATGTTAGAGGCGCGAAGCGCCTGAGGTGACAGTGCCGCAGCCCCCTAATTCTGATAATATCTCCTTCCTAGTGAAATCTGACACCACTGATGCAACGACACTAATCATTGCAAGATGGTTGCTTCAATAATTCCCCGATCAAAGTTTGTTCCGAGTCTTCCGCCTACTAGAGCGAGTTACCTCCCTTCTCTCTCTCCAACACTAATAAGGAAGAAAATATCACCGGAAAGCTGGAAAACTTGAAATTCGTTTAGTATCAACTTCCTGGAAATCGTGCAAAACTTTATGGTGTTTATGAGGGAACTTTATAGCTCTCCTGAATCTAATAGTTGTTCTTTTCTGGATCGTTTGTTTGAAATCTGGGAGTTTGTAAAGTTTTCTATTCTTTAAATACATTTCAATCTTCATCTTTTCTGTATTCTGCCGAGTGGGAAATGACTTCTTTTATCCAGATCACGTCATTGCGCAACTTAGAACTTCTTCGAAACTTATCTGATTATTTAGGCACACAAATTTTGACAAAACACCGTTTATGGAACTATCTTCAAATATTTGTGGAATTTTCCCGAACGCTCTCCAATGCACACTCTCGAAAAAAAATCAAAATACTCTCATCTGTTGTGATTGATATTTCCCTTTTTTCCGTCAAAGTTAAAGAAGATTTACAATTAGTTCCGTCCATGGCGTTCATGTCTGAAATGGAATGATAGTTGTCACTCAGCTTGACGCGCCTTCATCTTCCCATGATACCCCACGCACTTCATCCGCGTTAGTTTAGTGGTATGACCTAACTTAACCTAAGTTGCCTTTTATACCGATAAGAAGAGGACTCACATTGGGAAACTGTTTGTTCAGTCAACTTCCTTTCAGCTTTGTTTCAACTGACATTGGAAGTTTTGCCAAAACGTCGAGGAAAATTATTCATTTATCAAATCTTCTCTCAACCAAACGTGATGTATTTCTAAAGTTGACTTTAACGGTACGAACATACGATGTGTTTTGAGTTTTCAGTAAATGAAGTGAATCGTGGCACGGCAGGGCAAAAAGTGCCTTCAGGTTGAAGCTCAAATTTTCCAGCACGCAGAAAAAAAAACAGGTTTGGGGTCGTAAATATTGATTTTCATTTGTCAATGCTAATTACTTTTTAACATTTTCAAAGCCATTGAGTCGAAGTTTCGAGTTATAATATTAATTATTAATGACGGAAACGTTTGAAGTAAATCGCTTTTAAGACTAGGAACAACACCAGCAAACAAAAAGCAGTAGTTTCTAAAATAGGTCATCAGACAAGATCCGAACTATAAAAAAAGTCATATTTTTCTCCTCATAATACTACGCAGAAAACGATTTTTACGACAGTAGTGCGAAATTGAATTCAACCCCCAGATGAGATTTTAACGAGTATTTTGAACAAGGATCAAATGCCCAATGGAAGTTACATTACACGCATGACCTTATTCGAGCTTTCGCTGTTTAACTAATGTTACATGTAAACATTTACTTCTTATTTCGGAGTCAATTTTCAGACCTCCCGTTTCGAGATTGGTTTTCCTCGAGTAAAGGAAAAAATTCGGCGCGTATTTCTTTGACTCGTACCATGCTTTTCAACCTCAACTTTTGGATTACTGCATAAAGTTAATTTTTCGAATTGATCGATACTTTTTGCGGCAAATGACACCATAATGATTTGTCCTTTTGGGCTGAGGTATCGTTTCTTAGCGCTACCGTCTATAAACTATGTTAGGCGGATTTTGCCCTGTCGTGTGAGGCCTTGTCCACACGAGCGCGGTTCGTGGAACTTATTCCGAGGAACTTGTTCCCGGAACAAGTTTTAGTTGAGCTAAAAACTTATTCCTCCAAAACCCGGAACTTCCCCTTACTCCGAGCTTCTATTTATGTTTCTTTTGATGTGATTTTTTTTTTTTTTTTTTTTTTTTTCTTTTTTCTTTTTTGTTATTTACGTCCTTTACATGTCTTGACATTTATTTTTGTTACTTTGGCGGCCGTAATAATCTATTATTTTGCGATAATTGTATAGTTTTATTGAAGTTCCGGTTCCAGTTCGGGCGAACTTGTGTGGACAGCATGCCTCGTTTCAAGGAATAAGTTCCGGGAACTGAGAAGTTCGAGGAATAAATTCCGCGAACTGCGCTCGTGTGGGCAGGGCCTGAGATTTGACGAGTACTGAAAAGCGTGAAAAAGCGGATTGACTGACCTATCATGAAGGTAGCTCTGTTGGTGGTACGTTTGGCGCGGTAGGTGAGCGGGCGGGTGACGGAGAAGTATCGGTCAAAGCTGATGATGAGGAGGTTGAGCACGGAGGCGTTGCTGACCAGGTAGTCGAGCGCGAGCCAGGTGTCGCAGATGGTCGGCCCGAGCGGCCAGTAGCCGAGCAGCGTGTAAACCGTGAACAACGGCATCGAGATGAGCCCGATAGCGAAGTCCGCCATCGCCAGGCTGAACAGGAAGTAGTTGCTAATTGTCTGCAGCTGCTTGTCGATCTTGAACGAGATCATCACCATGAAGTTCCCCGCCACCTGAAACCCGAAACCAATTCCCGTCAAATATGGATATAAAAATAAAGACATTAATGGACTGCATTGAGCAGGAAGGAACCAAGCTTCATCAGCTATTGCCGAAGAGCCTCCCACAATAAGGGCTGATTTTCGCCCCTTTTTTGACAGCCCAACCTCCGTCATAGCTACACCAATGCTGCCGGGCCAAGGAAAAACGCTGCATGAACATTCGAGAGTTGCCAAATTTCTCCGAATAAAACATGTATTTTTGAGGAAAGTATTACTTGTTTTTCCTTGAAATTTTCAGATATTTTAGATTAAATTGCAAGCAAAACTGTCTACAAATTTTGAAGAAAAAAGATGACAATTTTTCCGGTAAATTGGTTATTTATTGAAGGAGATATGGCAACGTCTGGTGGCTCATACGGCGTTCTTCCTTAGCACGGCAGAATGGATGGGACGCAGGACCGGATTAGCGCTCAGAGGCCCGGGGTGTTGGCGGGCACAAAAGGCCCGCACATTTGCGGATTGCATACCCTCTAAACTGAAGGCATTTCATCTGCATCGACTTGCTGACCTTTATACATTAGGCCTCCTGGCCGCTACGCGGCCCAACTCCCAGAGGGCGCTTCGCACTCTCTTAGACCCGCTTCGACAAAAGAACGACCCAAAATTAATGACAAGATTTTCATACCCGACTGTCATTTGTCCAATCTCCCTATGACCGGGAGCAATTGGACCAATTACAATCGTAAAGCCGACAAATCACGCTTCGTCATTTAACCTATTGCATGAATGTCCAGCCGACAAAGACAAAATTTCAAGGATGAGGCTGCTGGGTGACTAGTAGAGTCCCTTTATACTGAGAGTCAAGACAATTCGGCTCATGGATGTCACAAACGGGAATAAAGATTACAGAAATTGAACGTTTTTCGTAATCTTTGATCGGCCCATTCTCAAATGCCTTTCTCCGTTCCTCCTCTCATTCCGTTTGTTCCTTGCCGAACCCGTAATTCCCTGGTCCATTCCAGATTATAATCTTTGCAATTGGTGAAAATGTAATCTTTATTCCCGTTTGTGACACTGTGGAGGCCTAAAATACGGGAACCAATCAGAAATGGATTCAAATTGTCTTGACTCTCAGTATAAAGGGACTGTAGGTGACTAGGATTAAAATGATGATGTTGGCGACGTACCGTGATGATACTGAGACACGTGGCGATGATGATGATGATGACGACCTGGACGGTCTTGAACTTGGAGGTGGGGAGCTCCGGGCTGGCGGTGGCGGTGGCGTTGTCGACGAGGACGCTGACGTTCTCGAGGGTGATGTTGAGGGCCTCGAGCGTGGTCGTGCTCAGCGGCGCCGGCGTCGTCGTCGTCGTCGAGTTCCAGTCCACAATCAGCATCCTGGTTCCTCTTCCTCCGAACCCCTCGACCGCACCCCTGCCCCTTCCCCTTCCCCTGCCCCTGCCCCTGCCCCTTCCTCTCGCCCCCGCGTCTTATTCGTCGCCGGCCCCGGCTACATGGTGCCTCGGGCGACGACACCTCATCGCGTCATAACATGGCTCCCGCTCCTTCCCCTGAAACAGAAGCAACACGCATCGTCAGAAAATTCCACTCCGATAGAATTTGACCATAGATATAAATGAAATAAAGTAGAAAGTAGTAGCTTTATCGGGCTCCATAGCTTACGGAAATTTATTACCTTTTTATCCCGATGAGTTGAGTTGATGAGTGATTAGACTATGATCATTTCGGAAATTAATCCATCTTCAGGTCTTCTTCATAGTGTTTCAAGAAGACCTGAAGATGGATTAATTTCCGAAATGATCATAGTCTAATCACTCATCAACTCAACTCATCGGGATAAAAAGGTAATAAATTTCCGTAAAATAAATGAAATATTTGCAAAACAGAAAAGTTAACGGTAGGAGGCGATCAGGGAAGCGTAAAGTTAGAGGATGCCCAGAGGATCAGAGGTTGTGAACTATACAAGTACCTAAATGGACGCATTTCTATCAAACAGACCTATGTGCAGGTGAGAAATATGGGGTGTACTGTAGAAAGCTGCATGAGAAGCAATGTAAAAGTGGGCGTGATTCCTTTTGAAGAATTGGAAAAGCGGGATTTTACATTCTATTAAACGGAACTGAGCGCCAACTGAATGCGGGATTCATGAGCCGCGGGCATGGCACGAGAGCGTTGTGGACAGGGCTCATGAATTAAAGCGCCCCGACGACGATCTCCCCGTCGCCGTCCGGCTCCTTCATTGCCACTGACGTCACTGGCGCTTTATCATTCTCATTCACTCTTACGGCCAGAGAACTAACGAGCACACCCCATTTTTCTCACCTGCTCATAGGTCTGTTTGGTAGAAATACGTCCAAATGTGTACCTACCTCCTTTATTCATTGCAACCACCCACTTCCACCAATATAATCCGTCCATATCCCTTTTGTCGGATGCGATCTGCCGGAGGAGCTCTGGCAAGATCGTTATCAGTAGCGGTTGGGTGTCGCAGAGCGCACAAAAGCACTATAAGAGCGACTTGTTAGTAGTAGTATATGAATGAAATGAAATATGAAATTCATAAAAATCATAGTGCACAAAAGTGAAATTTCATTCTCCATGATATTTCTATGACTTTTCACGAGCTAAATTGGACCGCGTTAAGCAGGAAGGAACCAAGCCACATCAGCTATTGCCCATTAGAATTGTGCAATTGTATTTTTACATGAAAACGGGTTTGCGGATTTTTGTGCAAAAGTCAATGAATTTTCTGCATAGTGCGAAGCAAATTCCTTAAAATTTTCAAAGGAATACGCACAAACATGTTCTTGTAAAAACTTATATCGCCCAGTTAAATTTGGCAATAGCTGATGTGGTCTGGTTCCTTTCTACTAAACGTGGTCTAGATACAAATAAAATATGAGTTTTCATAAAAATTATGGTATACATAAAGTGAAATTTCATTTTCCATGAAATCTCTATGAATTTTTGGCATTCAATGAGTTGAAAATGGAATGATAGTTGTCACGCGGCTTGACGCGCCTTCATCTCCGCATGATACCCCACGCACTACATCCACGTTAGTTTAGTGGTATGACCTAACTTAACCTAAGTTGCCTTTTATACCGGATAAAAGGAGAGTCACTGGGAATTTTTTTATCAGGCGACTTTCTCTTGGCTTTGTTTCAAGTTGGCATTGATAGTTTCGCCGAAACGTCGAGGACTTTTTACGGGCTGCGTATGCAACTCTCAACAACTATTGGAAAATCAGCTCAGGAACTTCGAAATTTGACTCGTGATATTTTTTTTTAAATTTCAAAATTAAGATTTTACCATTTCTATGTCTTTCGTGGTAAGTGAGTCCATTCAAGAAGTTTTAGAAAATTGTAAGAAAAATCATGAAATTTCATACAATTTTGTAGAATTTAATTTTATAATTGCTTTTTATGAAGTTGCATAAACTTATTTTGTACCTCTGGCCATCGCTTGGTTTGGTGGCCACGTCGTAGTTTTATATCGCATTTCGCTGCCTCTATTGTGATGAAACGCATAACCTTCAAAACCTTCAGCATTCAAACTTCTCCTGCATGAAAAGGTTTAAATGATGCTGATTAATTAAACAGCCCTTTTCATCAATATCAATGAATCTCGGGGTATCCTGAACGAAACTTGATAGTAGAAGGCACGAAAAAAGCGAATAGGCGGAACGAATTGCACTAAGAATGATTCGGAACTATCTGATATAATTATGAGGTATCAGAAAATTAGTTTTAAACCCATACTAGCTAATAATGCTTGAAAGCATCATTAAATCGGGAAGTTATTCAGGATGAGCAATATTACATGGTGCCTTTATATTATGTACCCGATGTTTCCAAAATGCACTTTTCCACCAAAGGGGCTCCAGACCCTTCCGCGAAAATCGACAACAGGGCTCAAAATGATTTCCGTCAACATGGGCAAATGAGCTTGTAATCGTGTAAAACAAGCCCCCGTTGTATTGGGCGAGTGAATAACTCAACAAATGCCGCAGCAATCAATAGACATTTATTCCATGTTGCCGATAGCTTGAAAATACGATAGACGATACCTTAATTTACCTAATTTAGATAATAAAATGGGCAATGAAGGCAAATGAAGGTATTAAACTAAGCCGTGTGGATCAGCGGGCTTAAATGTCATTTGATGGAATGGTTTTTAATTTATTTTAATCCCAGCCTCGGGAGATTATGTAGACTAACTCTCGAAACAATTGACTCTGCCTATTTTGGTATATTTATGGTAATCTTCGAACACATTAACTGGTGGGAAAAATAAAATCTATGAGGTCAGGTATACATTACAAACGAATGTGTTTCTAGGCTGTACTTCTAATTACCATATAATATTGATTTTTTTATGATGATTTGAGGGAAACCATGGGTTTCTTTTCACCTCATTTACGTCAAGTTAAAACTGCGAAATCCAAGACTATTTTTGCTCAGCATAATGAAGTCATTCGAATAAAAAAATTATTAAGACCTTTGATCAATGGGGGCAGTACAAAAGTTTTTATTTTAATCATTATAATTAAATATAATTTTCATAAATATAAAATTTCGAAATTTTCATTCAAAGAAAACGTCAAAAAAGTGAGAGTTTCCATTGATCCTTTGTCATATTGCCAGTCTACAATATTCCACGATCAAGATGCAATAATAAAGTATACGTGCGGATAACGTACTGCGAGTACAAAATTGACTATTCCGTAATAAAATGGCAGTGGTACTCATCTAAACTGCTTGAGACTCGTATGGCTTGTTCTACTCTACCAGCGCGCAGCGGGCTTGTTGAATCACTATCGAATGATCCTAATCGATAGATCCTATCTATCGATAGCTTATCGATATCGATAGAGCTATCTTAGCAATGTTATCTATCGATCAGGGTCATTCGATATCCTTTCAACAATCGACCCGCTGGACTTGCTCACCGGTTCGACCCTGAGCCTTCCTCAATTGGACTACATTTTGCAATTTGGAACTATAAATTCCGGCTCGGTTTAAAAACAACGTATGAGGCATTAGTTTCCCTATGCACATAAGTGTTTTTCCAGAAGAGCCAGAATTTATAGTTCCTAATTGCAAAATGCAGTCCAATTCCTCATCCACCGAGGAGCTGCAGATAAATTATAAATTCGCCTGCTGCACCAACGCAAGTCGCGCCTTTCTCATCTGTAAATTGAACCCTAATAATAATCAACGGTTCTAGAGGCGATGCTGCCATTTCGGACAGCGAAGATCACCTCCATAAGATTTAATGGGTTGTCTTCGTGAGGGATTCGTGAATAATAGCCGTCCGGCAACAATGTGTTGGGAGCCTCTTGGTATTTTATCAAGCCGTGACAGAACTCACGGAGCTAATCTCAGGAATTCGGCGGATTGTTTCCATAAAATGTGCTGCCACATTGCAAAGTCAGAGAAATAAGCAGGAGGAAGAAGAGAGGGAAGAGGAAAGTTTTGTTCTCCTAAAGTCGGTTCTTTTATATGTTATTCTATTATGCATATCAATTTGAGATGTTTTAGGGTAGGAAGGGTTGAAGGGTAGCTAAAGCTGTTTAAGAATTGATTTATGTCATAAAAGAAACTCTTGCGAAAGATTTTATTTTGAAAATTATAAAATTTGCCTTAAAAGGCAAGATCTCGCGCTTAATTTTCACTCAAATCTTAACTAAACATACCGACGGTGAAACTACCAAACCACGTATCTCGGTTTGCGACGTCGTAGACTTCCTGTCATACTTCATTTTTTGGGTGGAAAACTTCTCAACATCAATTCTTGAAACACCTCCGTGATTTTTCCTCTCTGTGTAAAGAGAAATCTGTGAAAACTTCAAGGAATGATATTGGTTTGTTCTTTTTCACAAAAATAAAATGAGAGCGGAGATTTTTAAACACCGCAAACGAGATAAGTGGTCTGACAGTCTCATCGTCGATATGCGTTTATATTTGCAAGAAGTTTAGAAATCAGGAGGGGCAAAAATAAATAAAATCAATAATTTTAATTCGTTCTTATCATATTTCATGTTTGTAATATTCCTGTAATCCGAGATCTAATTTCATTACGAAACGGAAAGAAAAATATAAAAAATAGATAACATGTACATAGCGAGAAATTGCACCAGCTTACTTGTAAACCCGTATTTTCCAGAAACTGAGCGTAGGAAGAAGATTCAATTACTGCACTTCTTTAGCAGAAGTTGATTTTCATTTTCATACGGTTGCAGGAAAAACAATATTATACACAAAAAGTTGGAAAACCGAGGTGGAAGCATTTACAGCAGCGTGCATAAACCGAACATTTTTACGAGCTAACCCAAAAGCGCGCATAAAAACTTGTTAAAAACTTAAATTAGAAAAAGCCGAGAAAAGTCTGAAAAGTTCAGAACTTGTTTATTTTTAAATGAGCAACACCGAGTAA